GATTCCTTTATTCAAGAGGCATTCACTAAGTTCTTTCTCTATGCCAGGCAGTTCTTTGAATAGTAAACAAATAAGTTATCAGATATGAGCACAGCTCTAAGGGAACAGAGAATCTACAGATGGCTGAAGAAGTATGAGTATTTGGAAGCATGCGGTGTTGAGAGCAGTATAAGATAGAGCATGCCAACCTATCTTGGAGGGTAGGGGATGGTCAGGTAATATATCACAGAGAAAGTTACATTTCATTGCAAAGCAAATGAAGCCCAATAAGGGAGCCCGGGATGTCAAATGGGAAAAGAACTGGTAGTTGATGAGTTCCATGAAATAAGGGGCAGTCAGTTTGCACAAAGCAAGGGGAAACCACTACAATAACTGGGTAAGCCTCACCATCTCTTTAAGCCTTCTTTGGAAAAGAATACATGTATTTTCCACTGTATTGTTTTTTAAAGCTTCTAAAAGCCCTGTATGCAAATAGCAAATTTCATGGAATTCCTTTTTCAAGATGACTAGGCATGAAGTGATAAAACTCTGCTTTTTCAGAAGAATCTGAGTTTTCTCTGAGCAGCACTACTATAAGTAACAAAACAGGGGCGCCTGGGTGGCGCAGTCGGTTAAGCGTCCGACTTCAGCCAGGTCACGATCTCGCGGTCCGTGAGTTCGAGCCCCGCGTCAGGCTCTGGGCTGATGGCTCAGAGCCTGGAGCCTGTTTCTGATTCTGTGTCTCCCTCTCTCTCTGCCCCTCCCCCGTTCATGCTCTGTCTCTCTCTATCCCAAAAATAAATAAAAAAACGTTGAAAAAAAAAAATTTAAGTAACAAAACAAAACAACAGAAAGTCTGTTTATATTTAAAGACTAGAAGTCTTCCTGTTGAAGGAACTAGGCTCTGAGGGAGATGTGAACAAGATGTAAGCTATGAAGCTGGATGTTCTGAGCCGCCATCTGTATCCACTCAGTTGTTCTCATTGGAATAAGACACTCCCACTTTTAACTATGAAAATTTTGAAACATGAGGAAAATGGAAAAATCATATAGTAGGCACTATAGCCCTCACTTAGGTTTTCATGTCACCATATTTGCTTTCTCATTTTTTCCTTTTTAAAACATACAGTTTTTACACTTTTTGCTGGCCCTTTTGAGAATAAGATGCAGAAACCTGTCACACCTTAATAATTTAGCATGAATCTAATAATAGTTGTTACCTGCATAATCATAATGTTAATATACTTTAAATATTTTATTATATAAGAAGCTTAGTATATAAAAATTAGAAAACACAGAAAATCATGAAGAAAATTCAAACTGCCCATGTGTGCAACACAAAGAAATAACCACAGCTAATAATTTAGTATTTAACTCTAGTACCTTTATATAGAAATGTATTATCCTTACAAAAATATATCATTTTGGTTTTGTAACTTATATTGCTTATTTTTTTCATGTTAACAAATAATATAATATGTAATATTTTTTTATTCCTTACAGAATATTCCAATTTATAGATGTATCATAATTTATTTAACCAATCTCTTCAATGTTGGATATGAAAGCTCTATTTCCATTTATTTTGCTACTATCAACAGCTCTTTAAGGAACGGGACAATATTCTTTTTTTTAACAAAATTTACTGCCTATAATCTCTTTTTTAGACTTAGAAATCAAGCATACTTTGGGTGTATGCCCAACAAGGAAGATAATAATAATTTAAAAAGCCAAGGACAAGTTTTGATAAAGGTATATTAAATTTTGAAAGGTTATCTTGGAGCCCATTATGGTTTAATTTCAAGAAAGAAATTAATGAAACACTAATAGTTCAGAATTCAAAACACCACCAAAAATAATTTTTCCAACCAAGTTCTCCATTAAACATTTATTAAAAAGAAAGGCCAGGTTAATCAGAAACAGAGGGACCTAAACACGTTTTTTCCCATTGAAAATGCATTTTTCCAAAGGTAATACATTAAGAAAATCCCATGATTATTTATGCCAGACTGCATGATAGTAAATTAGCTCCTTATCAATAGTCAATCAAGATTATGTTTATAAATTATTAAAGCTTCAGCATATTCAATGATTTAGGATCTTGAAAAACTTGACAGGAAAGGAAAAGCTACTGAACATAAAATTCTCATGATATCCTGTAAGAAGGAAACCTAAGAAAAGGAGAAAATTATACGAAATTATATCAATCACTTGCTTTTTCTGTACAATCAGGACATGGTGCTAAGTCTCTGGCATAATTTTAAGTCCACCTGCCTTCAGTGTGATTCTCTGCTCCTGTCTTTTGCTTCTCTCTTCTTTTCTTTTTGCTGTTCTCTGCTTCTGGTTTGTCCCCAAAACTTCACTTTCCCTAGATACTTCTAAGCAAGAAGACCTCCTCTCTTTAGGGCACCTATTATTCATAGCCATTATGTATACTGTTTGATATGTTCTTGGTTATGGTTTCATTTAATAGTATTTAAGAGGGTACTCTAGGGGCGCCTGGGTGGCTCAGTCGGTTGAGCATCCAACTTTGGCTCAGGTCATGATCTCACAGCTCGCGAGTTCGAGCCCCACGTCGGGCTCTGTGCTGACAGCTCAGAGCCTGGAGCCTGCTTCTGCTTCTGTGTCTCCCTCTCTCTCTGCCCCTAACCCACTCGCATTCTGTCTCTGTCTCTGTCAAAAATAAATAAACATTAAAAAAATTAAAAATAAAAAAAGAGGGTACTCTAAGATAACAAATACTACTTTGATATTCTGTGTTTTAGCTTTAGCCAAATAATTTCCAGAATAAGAAATTATGTTCCACTGCTATTCTTTCCTCCACCCATGTATAATAATTGTACTATTGATTCTTTAGCCTATGTAAACTAACATTTCCTCATCCACAAGACAGTTACTGAGATAGACACTGCACCAGGTGCTGGGAATACACTGATAAAGTCAAATACTATGGTTCTTGAATAGGAATCTTCAGCAATGTAATCTAGCTAAATAGTTTACCACATACAGTCTAACTACTGAAAACCATTAAGATTCATGTACAAGAGTCTGGCTATCAATATTAAGAGTATTTTTTTTCAAGTCTTTTCAAGTACTTCTCTACTTAAGAGAGAAAATCCAGACAAGGTTCTTTCAAGAATATTTAATTGTTTAAAGATATTTGCAAATGATATATCCAGTAAGGGAATATACAGAACTCATACAACTAAGACCCAAAGAATAAATAATCCACTAAAAGAAATGTGCAGAGGACCTGAATAGACACTTTTCCAAAGAAGACATACAGATGGCCAACAGACACATGACTTCATGCTGAACATCATTAAGCATTAGGGAAATGTAAATCAAAAACACAAAGAGATAACATCTCACATCATTAAGAATGGCTAGTAACAAAAAAACTAGAAATAACAAATAGTGGTGAGAATGTGGACAAAGGGGGGCCCTAGGACACTGTTGGTGAAAATGTAAATTGAGGAAGCCACTCTTGAAAACCGTATGGAGGTTCCTCAAAAAATTAAAAATACAAGTAACATACAATCCAGTAATTCCACTTCTAGGTATTTACCCAAAGAAAATAAAAACACTAACTCAAAAAGATGTATGCCCCTCTACATTTATTGCAGCTTTATTTATAGGAGCCAAGACATGAAGGCAATATAAGTATCTATTGATAGATAAATGGGATAAAGAAAACATAGTATAAATACACGATGGAATATTACTTAGCCATAAAAAAGAATGACATCTTGCCATTCACAACAACATGGATGGATCTAGAGGATATTATGCTAAGTGAAGTAAATTAGAAAAAGACAAATACCATATTATTTGACTTATTTGTGGGATCTGAAAAACAAAACAAATGAACAAACAAATAAACAAATACTAACAATAGCAATAAAAAGAGAAACAGGCTTACAAATATAGAGAACAAACTAGTGGTTGCCAGAGGAGAAAGCAGTGGGGGGGTGGGAGGGTGAAATAGGTAAAGAAGATTAAGGGGTACAAACTTTCAGTTATAAAATAAGTCATGGGGATGAAAAGTACAGCATAGGGAATATAGTCAATAATATTGTAATAACTTTGTATGGTGACAGATGGTAACTAGACTTATCCTATACTTATGGTGAGCTTTTTGTGATGTGTATAATTATCAAATCACTATGTTATATACATGAAACTAATATTATATGTCAACTATACTTCATTTAAAAATATAAAAAATAATATTTAGTTGTTTATACAGCCTTCACTAGGGCATAACCCTCCTCCATGGGAGAAATTGCACAAAAAGTCATAAGAAATGAAGACAACTCTTTAGGAAGCAATCCATGACATAATGGATATTATGGTTGCCTCACCTTTTTTCAATAAAATCTTACAGCATTCAAACAATATTCCAAGGACTTTTTGAATTTAAAAAGGCCACATCTGAAGTCAGTTATAGGAAGGAATTTTAAGAGGAGGCCCTGAGCCTTCTATAAAACGTAAAACTGCTATTCCCTATCCCATCCATTAGAATAGAATATAAAGTAAATCACAATTACATCACAACCAAACATTAGCTAAAGTATTTCTATTTCAGATATTTAACTTAGTTTGGGAAAGTAAACTTATTAAAAAAACTTTTTTTTAATGTTTATTTATTTTTGACAGAGAGAGAGACAGATCATGAGTGGGGGGGGTGCGGGCAGAGAGAGAGGGAGACACAGAATCCGAAGCAGGCTCCAGGCTCTAAGCTGTCAGCACAGAGCCCAACGCAGGGCTCGAACTCACAGGCTGCAAGATCATGACCTGAGCCGAGTCGGATGCTCAACCAACTGAGCCACCCAGGTGCCCCGGGAAAGTAAACTTATTTAAAATTTTCCGAGAGTAAGGAACTGGATTCTATAAAATTTTAAAGCAGAGAAAACAGCTAAGATTAGTTATTAATCGGGGATATAATATTACAATATTCCTTGTCTTAAAAGAATTGTATTTCTTTAAGCTGTTTTTATTACCAATTATAATCTACATACCTGTGTGGCTACGGATATGAACTCTCAGTGTACCACTGCTGGCAAATTTCTGGCCACAATATGGGCAGATTTTCTCCTTTTCTCCAGTATGGGTCTAAAGCGAAAGGAATAAAAAGAGTTAAGGATAAATATAAAGAATTAGGTAAAAATGATGAAATGCCTCTGACAATGGTAAATCCTTTTTTTCCAGGATTACGTTTCATTAAAATGATTTAATATCACAATGAGATTTTAAACAATTTATCATGGGTGTTCCCACTGCTTCAAAAAAAAAAAAAAAAAAACCAAACTTTAGAATCATGCATTAGTGCTAATTTGAAAATAATTCTACAGTTTACTTTTTAAGCCTTCACGGAGCCCCCAAGTAAAAATGATTAAGTTATACAAAACCAGTATATGCTGGTAAAACCACATAATCAAAATGGGGTTACGGCTGCCCTTGACTGCTGCCAAGAAATACTTCCTTAGAAGCATTTTTCACATTCTTTGTGTGTATTTAGCTCTTGAGGACAAAATTAATCTCAATAAAGTAATCTGTTACTTGCATTATGCTTGTCTGACTGGATTCATTTTACTGCAAAGCAAAAAGAAATATAAATCTGGTTTGATCTTTAAATCAGCAGGTGTTAATTGAGCAGTTTGAAAGAACATCCTGGCTCTCAACATACCTTTAATCTTGGCATAAAAACAATCATACAAAGAAAGATGAATATGTATCATCAAAAGTGAATTTTGACAGAATGTTAGAGAGTTCAAAGAAAAGAGTGACCTCTCCAAAAAGAGGAGGCAGATGGAGCTTTTAAAACTTGTCTCACAATCTCATCAGGATACCAGCTATTCTACCAACATCAAAAAGATTGTTCCAATAATTGAGGGGTCAGAGCTATTTTCAAGTCCCATTATTTTTTAAACTTAGAAGAAGGGACAAAGAAGGGAGAAGGAGGAAATTACTTCGGATATCTGCACATTCTCAATGAAACTATTTTTTTTTATTTCAATGATGACCTACAAATCAATAAAAGCAGACAGTGGATGACCTGGGTTACCACCATAAAACAGAGTTTCCAGGACTTGTGTTTGTATTAGTTTTTGTGCAAATTACTGGCACGTATTATTATTATTATTTGAATTGCCATGGGCTAATATAAAAAGAATAGGAGAGGTTTTTGAAAAATGGGGGCATCTTTGGGGTTCCTGAGTAGCTCAGTTGGTTAAATGTCCAACTTAGGCTCAGGTCATGATCTCACAGCTCATGAATTCAAGCCCCATATTGGGCTCTGTGCTGACAGCTCAGAGCCTAGAGCCTGCTTCGGATTCTGTGTTTCTGTCTCTCTCTGCCCCTCCCCTGCTCACACTCTTTCTCTCTCTCTTTCAAAAATAAACAAACATTGAAATTTTTTTTTTAAAATGGGGGTGTCTGAGTGGCTCAGTCAGTTAAGGTGTCTGACTTCAGCTCAGGTCATGATCTCTCAGTTCACGGGTTCAAGCCCCACAGCAGGCTCTGTGCTGATACCTCAGAGCCTGGAGCCTGCTTCAGATTCTGTGTCTCTCTCTCTCTCTCTCTCTCTCTCTCTCTCTCTCTCTGTTTCTTCCCCAGTTGTGCTCTATCCCTCTCTCAAAAATAAATAAACATTAAAAATATATTTTTTAATGATGTGTTACCAGAAGGGACACACTGCCTGGGATAGAAAAAGGGGTAGGGCAGTTACCTCATCACCTGATAATCTCAAAAAAGCACCAATGTAGCAACACATTCTCATCTTCCATATTAAATTAATTGTTCACTTTAATATAATTAGTTTCAGAGCCTTATTGATATGTAATTTGAAAATTTTCATATTTGAATTATAATCTATACTTGTATATCAACTATTGTATATGTAATTTTTTAAAGAGCTATAAACTAAATACCTTAGTCAACATCAGTGTCTTTTTAATATTTTTCCACTGAAAATTATTTATATTATAATCAAGTTTGAGAAATACAGTCTAACCAACTGCCATACTAGCCAATGACACCAGCTACCACAGACATCTCCTTGATTCTGCACTTGGCAGGCACTTAACTTTCCATTTTCACTACAACTTCTTACACAAAACAGTTATACATTCTTCAGAGTAAGAGCTGTTACTCCCATGGTTCACATTATGGCTCATTTTAAAGGAAATGGTATAACATTTTAACATATAGCAGACCTATATTCTTCTCGTTCCCTGACAGAGGAGCAAACTACAACAATTTTTTCTTGATTAGTGTAAGGTTGTTTAGATATTGTATACATCTATTATTACAACATTGGATTATTCCAAGCAGGCAACTACCAATTTATTTATAGTATCTTATAAAATCCACGGAACTTCTCTTGCTGCTACATAAGTATTTCATTGTTCATTTATATAACCTAAGTTACTTGTCAATGGTATAAGTTTCAAACTAAACAACATTAAGTCAATATTAATGAAAAGAACTAAAATGTTCCTTTGGTTTAATTCAAAAATATATCTTATTAGGAACAGAATTTTGTTAAATCGTTTAATTTTTTTTTAATTTTTTAAACATTTATTTATTATTGAGAAACAGAGAGAGACAGAGCATGAGCATGGGAGGGGAAGAAAGAGGGGGAGACACAGAATCCAAAGCAGGCTCCAGGCTCTGAGCTGTCAGCACAGAGCCTGATGCGGGGCTCGAACCCAAGAAGTGTGAGATCATGATCTGAGCCGAAGTTGGATGCTTAACTGACTGAGCCACTCAGGTGCCCTTAAATTTTTTTTAATATTTATTTTTGAGAGAGAGAGAGAGAGACAGAGCATGAGTGGGGAAGGGCAAAGAGTGAGGGAGACACAATATCCAAAGCAGGCTCCAGGCTCTGAGCACAGACACTGATGTGGGGCTCAAACTCTCAGACCATGAGATCATGACCTGAGTCGAAGTAAGATGCTTAATCGACTGAGCCACCCACGTGCCAGTGGTTAGCTGGTTTTAAAAGACATTTAAGGTACAATACTAAAATATGTTAAATACAGATAAAAAGGCATGGAAACAGGTCACTATGTGAACAATACTGGATGAATGTACGAGACAAAAATGAACAATGCTCTGCAAAATGTACTGTACGACCATCTGTGATCACAAACTATATCTCTCTTGAAAACTATTTTTTCCCACATTTATTAAAACACAATACAAATTTATTAAATTCATGCACAAAAGTAATTCAAGCAAAGATAGTTAAAAGATTATCTTATTCAGAAATTAAAAAAAGAGGACAATATCATTATTACTGAATATTAAAGAAACAGGAAAAGAAAATTCCTCAAGTAAGTCCTTTTGAAACAGCTATATTGAGGATAGGTACCAAAATAAAAGTCACACTGAAGCATGAGTCACTTCCTCACATTCACTCAGAGTACACGCTAAATAGCAGAACCTGGGGCGCCTGGGTGGCGCAGTCGGTTAAGCGTCCGACTTCAGCCAGGTCACAATCTCGCGGTCCGTGAGTTCGAGCCCCGCGTCAGGCTCTGGGCTGATGGCTCAGAGCCTGGAGCCTGTTTCCGATTCTGTGTCTCCCTCTCTCTCTGCCCCTCCCCCGTTCATGCTCTGTCTCTCTCTGTCCCAAAAATAAATAAACGTTGAAAAAAAAAATTAAAAAAAAAAAAAATCATGCATCCCTTATGTGTCATTTTGAGTCATATATTGATTAATTAATATTAAATTGATTATCACATGATAATGAGCATACATGCCCATATAGCTTAAATATGTAATCCATTCAACTCAGGGAAGGCTTCTACTTACTTTCTTGTGACTTCTAAGCACTGAGGGTGTAACAAATGCCTTATTACATAGCTCACATCTGTATTTCTTGTGTCTTTCATGGACCACCTGGACATGAACATTTAAAGTATCCTTCCTTTTAAAGGTAGCATCACAGTGATGGCATTTGAAAGTCCTCTCACCTTAGAAACGAAACAGTCAAATAAGAGAAACATCAGATGAGCAGGGTGTTGTTAACTGCCCCTCAGAGGTACCAGATTTAGTGTTGTTTTCTTCAAAAACTTAGCTGTATTACTAACAATTTATCATAACCAGAAAAGGTAGTTTTTTATGAAATATTTTGATTCCATATATGCTAATTCACTGTGTGACCAGTGGGAAGTCCTTTAACTTTCTTAGGTTCTCAGTCTCTTTAATTGGAAAATGTGGAGACTGAAATAGCGAATTTTCTAAAGGTACCATGAACTTTCTTTAAAGGTAGGTATTTCTAGAGCAGGGGCTCAGGTTTGAGGCAAGTAGGTTCTTGTGGTGACAAAAGGCTTCTGTCAAGCTAAAGAGATAAGGTGCCTTTGTCCCTCACTCCCACCACAACCCTTGTGGCCTTTTTAGGGGACAGGGCACAGGTCAAACAGGGTCATGGGTAGCAAGCTGGGGCGGGACGCCCCTGAGGGCACACAGAAATGGGTCAGAGCCAGCCCCCTTCTAGGACAGGAGAGGGCTACAACACCCTTTCCTTTCTCAGCACTGTCCCAGGAACCTGGACTACAGTCTCCCTAACACGGGTCCTTGGTCTGCTGTGAAACACCTGGGGAAAGGTTTCAACTCCCAGATTCTCAGACAGTTTGGGGGGCTGCCTCTCAGACAGCCAGTTGGAATGGAGCAACTCTCCTTTTCTAGAGCCCCTGGGTACCTGTGAGTGTTTTCACCTTCTTCTTATTCTGGAGCCTAGGCCGGCAGGGAATGCAACTCCAGAAACTATGTTTAGGGGCATATGGTATTTTTAAAACTTTCATATAATGCTCTCTATCCTTGTAGGTATTCATAACAAACACGTCAAACTCTAGTGGCCTACTTTAAGTACATTTTCAGTGATCTATGTGCACAATTAGAAGACAGTTTTATCTCTCAGAAAGTTACAAAATTTGAATAGCACATAGTTATACAAATAAGACAGACTAGAAGTTGAATATATTTTCCCTTTGTAGAGAACAACTGTATTAGCACAGAGTCACATATTATGTTCAACTATGAGACAAAATATACAGGTAACTTACTACATCGAAATAAGAGATTACCTCAATTTGAACTAAACTCTGATATAAAACTTCCCTCCATTATAACTAGCATAAATTTAGAAATGTGAAGATCCTATTATTTCTTCATACCAAATTTAAGGAAGGAGGGACAAAAAGAAGGAAAAGAGAAAAAAAATAAAAAGACAAATTATCCTTTTCAAACAGAATTATAGCTCTTTATGTTAAAATCTCTGATAGTCTTGTTAAAATCTAATGCTTGGTACAGTCACATCCAAACCATGCATGAATTGTGTAGATTCTTAAAGCTCTGTTTATGTTACCTTTGTGAATTTTTGTTGCTAGGTGCTATTATTGTAACCTAGTTTGTCTTTATATATCTTCTATATTAAATTTATTTAAATACTTCATTTATAACCAGTGAGAGTAAAAGAAAATATCAATTGACATAAGATTATAAATAATAGCAAATCAACTCAGGAATAAAAAGAAATTTTAAAAAAACATACCAAAAAAAACAAAACAAAGCAATCCTCCAAGATTTCTCCTTCAAAGCATATCTATTAAACTATCACATGAAACAAAATATTGATTCCAGAGTGCCTGGGTGGCTCAGTCAGTTAAGCGTCTGACTTGGGCTGAAGTCATGATCTGGTGGTTCGTGAGTTTGAGCCACACATTGGCCTTTGTGCTGACAGCTCAGAGCCTGGCACCTGCTTCAGATTCTGTGTCTTCCTCTCTGTCTCTGCCCCTCCTCCTACTTGTGTTCTCTATCTCATCTACTCTCTCAAAAAATAATAAAAAAAAATGTTAATGTAAAATTAAAAAATACATATATTGATTCCTATGCCAAAACCTCATCAAGCTATACCAAGGGAGCTCTTACCTTTCTCCTTTCACATTTTAATTCCAGATTTTTTTGTTATAAACTTATCAGAATTTTAAAAATTCTGATGAGATTTTATCTGATGTTATCAGATTTCTTTGCCTTAAAGAAATAAAGCTATGATTAAAGATAGGATTTAAACCAAGAAGGTAGCTATCAAGCTGTTTTTTGCTTTTCAGTGCGTTAGAAAATAGCAATAATTTCCAAAATAATAATTACAAGTTATTCTTTACATTTTGAGCCAGAAGGCTGATATAAGTTTCTTTAAAAAAATTTTTTTTAATGTTTATCTATTTTTGAGAGAGAGAGAGAGAGACAGCATGAGCAGGGGAGAGGCAGAGAGAGAAGGAGACACAGAATCTAAAGCAAGGACCCAGGCTCTGAGCTCTGAGCACAGAGCCCAACATGGGGCTCGAACTCACAAACTGTGAGATCATGACCTGAGCCAAAGTCGGATGCTTAACCAACTGAGCCACCCAGGTGCCCCTGCTGATATAAGTTTCTATGGTGATCTTCATGTTTTGAGTTAAACAGGTTTTAATTTTCATATTGTGCAAGATTACCTTTCATATTTTGTCCCATTTTGCCCACTTCTGGTTTTCTCCATCCTCACTGGTCTTATCTGATATTTAACTTTACCTGCAATAGCCTACTTACACAATTACAAAACTGATTTCCCAGTCTTGGTACAGCATCATAAAGCCTTTGATTAATGTGCTGATCAACATTATATTAAATACAGAATGTGCAAGCACAGTCTACACTTGCCACTTCAATCCCATGTCTCAGGTTTATGAGAACCGATCAGCTGAAATCGAAAGTAATAGATGCCTTATATTAAAAACTCCTTGCTGTTATTGAAAATTTTATTTACCCAAGGAAAAATTTCCTGAGCATAAGGATAAATTTGACCACAGAAGTGTTTTTTTTAATGTTTATTTATTTTTGAAAGAGAGAGAGAGAGAGAGAGAGAGAGAGAGAGCAGGGGAAGGGCAGAGAGAAAGGGAGACACAAAATTCAAACCAGGCTCCAGGCTCTGAGCTGTCAGCACAGAGCCCGACATGGAGCTCAAACTCACAAGCCGAGAGATCATGACCTGAGCCGAAGTCAGAGGCTTAACTGACTGAACCACCCAGGCGCCCCCCACAGAAGTCTTAATAGTATGAATGAGGTTCCCTTGTTTCAATCCCTACTTTACTTTAAATCCATTCACCTCAGGGGCGCCTGGGTGGCTCAGTCAGTGAAGCATCTGACTCTTGAATTCGGTTCAGGTCATGATCTCACATTGTCTGAGATGAAGCCCCATGTCAGGCTCTGTGCAGGGAGCCTGCTTGGGATTCTCTCTCTCTCTCTACCCCTCACCCACTCGTATGCAGTCACTCTCTCCATCAAAACAAACAAACAAACAAACAAACAAACAAACATTTAAAAACTAAAACTAAACTAAACTAAAATAAAATAAAATCCATTCACTTCACAATGATTGTTTTTCTTAGTCAAATGACAGTGAAATGGAATGAAAATATGCTACATGACAAATTTCATTCCTTAAATGCATGGCTGTCCTTAGTAAGAAAATAAAAAGTGGTGTTAACAAATTCTCCAGAACTGTAACGTAAAATGCAGAATGGCACAAGACCACAACACTCTTTTCTGTAGGAAAAGATGTATTTTATCATAATCATTACCGCTCAGTATTTTAAAAAACTTTAATATCTTTGTTATTTTGAATTTTAGATACATCTACTCAATCAGATAAAATGTCTTCCAAGATACTATCTTATCTCTAATGTTGTCATAACTGATTAATTGTTTTGCTTTCCTCAGACATATTAAAAATTTAATCAGCAGTAGTAACTTTATTTCAGAAGATGTTCTACTGATTAAACAACTCAAAAGCAATAAATACAAATATTACTTATGTTATGCCATTTTTCTTTAATTTTAGATACAGTAACATAGCAAATGTCTAGTTACTTCAATATCTGAACACAGAACCCACTTTAAAACTCAACTTAGCAATAACATTTTCTCTGAAATAAAGTGCTGTAATAAAGTGTCCTTCAGCGATGTGAGTATAAAAGGTTTAGTATTCTAAAAATAGCTCTGAGTGGAACTGCCTTACCAGTTTGCATGGTATGCATGTGTATAACTTAACCCCAAGGAAAAGCAGTGCTCCTGCTAAAAGAAGTAAGAAATCAGAGGCAGTGTAGAGAGAAGTAGGAAAAGCACGTGACTATTGGAACCCATATGCGACCTCCAGATGCATTTGTCACCGTGTTTCTCTGAGTCTCATTTTTCTCTGCTCCCCAACAATCAACAGGTTACATTAGATTTGTATTTTGGTCCTTTCCAACTTTAAAAGAGTCCATGAGCTAATAAAATCATGCCAGACATTCGCATGTTTTAAAGGGTCAGACACGTTTCCTTAATCATTATATTTGAAAGGGAACAAGAATGTCTATTTCAGAACAAATTTCAAAGATACCTTGCCGAACATAAGAAACGATTTTATATACAAACTTTATATAGTGGTAAGAAATGACACAAATAAAATGTCTCATAAAATGATTTAATGTGGAAAAATAAAGCAAGGATAAAGGAAGGAGCGCTGAAAGGCAGAATTACCAGCCTTTTAAACTACACATGGGTCCACTTCTGTGATGCCTACATTCTCAAAAGTTGTAAGGGCAAAGTTTGAGAGAATTCATTTTGTCCTCAACTGCTTGTATTTTGACTTACTGTTATGTATGAGAAGGTGTCTCTGCAAAGAAAATGGGGTCCGGAACAAAGCTTTACATTCCTCACACTGGAATGGTCTCTCTTCAGAATGGGTCTGCACATGAAAGAAACTGTGAGTTAGGAGGATCTAGAATCATCTAGTCATGACAATAACTGTGAGCCTATATCCATGGTATGAAAGAGGAAAGGGTAGGTAGACAATATCTTGTTTCTTCTGGTGATGTTCTTTCAACATAAAATTGTAAACACAAATTTGCTACATGCATGGTAAAAAAACAACTGTATATTTAAATTCTCACATTAATTATCAATTTGATAAATAATAAGGGAAATTGGGGCACCTGGGTGACTCAGTCAGTCAAGGTCTGACGCGGTTTTGGCTCAGATCATGACCCCAGAATCATGGGATTGAGTCCTCATTTGGCTGTGCTCTGCGCATGGAGCCTGCTTGGGATTCTCTCTCTTTCTCTCTCTCTCTCTCCCTCCCTCTGTCCCTCTCCCCTTGCTTGCAGGGAAATTTCATCCATCATTTATTTTGTGCCCAGTCTATGCTATGCACTTCATGTTGCTATGGGACAGTCCTACTTTACACACTGGGGATACAGCAGTAAAAACAAAAGATGAAGTCCCTGCTATCATGGAGCTCTTACACTAGCTGGGAGAGGACAATTAACAAATGATAAAATATGAAATACATATTATAGAGAGAAAGAAAGAGAGAAAGAAAGAAAGAAAGAAAGAAAGAAAGAAAGAAAGAAAGAAAAGAAAGAAAGAGGACAGCAAAAGTTTCAAAGAATGGGGTAGCAATTTTGAACAGTGGTCAAAGAAATTACAGCCAAGAAGGCGACTTGAGAGAAGACCTAATGGAAGTGAGGGAGCAAGAGCAAGCCTCCCTCTGAGTGATCTGGGCAGAAAACACCATGGAGGCCAGTGTGGTTGGAACAGGTGGAAAAGGCATGGAAAGGGAGATGGGGTCAGAAAAAATGGGGAAATAATGGGAAAGAGAAGCAAATCATGTTGGGCCTGGTTGGCCACTGCAGGAGTTTTGTCTTTTACTGAGAGAGAGAAAAAAAATCTCAAATGAGTTTTGAGCAGATGAGTGGCATGATTCACCTGACATTTAATAGGATGCTAAGGTGGCTGTGTCGAGAAGGGGATATATAGGAGGACAAGGAAAAGCAGAGAAACCAGAGAAGAAAGAGCAATCAACCAAGCAAGAAATAATTAAGACCTATGTCATGGTGGTAGCCACCAATGTAAAGAGAAGCAGTAGGCTTCTGGATGTATTATAAAAGTTAACAGGTTTTGTGGAGAGACTTGGATTGGAAGCATGAGACACAGAAAAGAAGAATCAAATGTGCCTCCAAGATTGTGACCAAAGCAATGGTAGGATGAATCAGCCATTTACTAATATGTGAGACGGCAAGCCAAGAAACAAGTTTGGGTTAAAGATAAGAGGTTCAGTTTGGGGTAAGTTCAAAGGACTATTAAAAGATGTCTAGTAGATAGTGGAATATTTCAAGTCTGGATTATAGTGTATAAAATTTGGGGATGTCAGGTTATATAGTGTTAATATTTAAAGCCTCATGAATACAATGAGAGAATAAAAATTTTAAAAAAACATCATCTGTAGTATATCAGATTGGCAAAGGTGAAGAAAATGGATATTACTCATTGTTGACTAAAAGGTAAGAACAAGCGCCCTCATGTCTTGTAACTGGAAATATCAATTTTCTGAGTGGCAATGTGGCGCTATTTACCAAAACGGCAAATGCACGTACTCTGACTAACCAACTGCCTTTCCAGAAATATATGACAAATTTTTACATAAACAAAAACTTTTTAAAAAGCCTCCTAAATGGCCACTGACATTCGGTCAACTAATTCTGTGTGGCTATTATATGTTTATTTTGATATGGAAACCCCCACTAACATATTTTGATGTCAAAAGCACAATGCAAAACATTATACGTAGAATATCATACATTGTGAATACACGCACACGTAGAATGGGGGTAGAAAATGTCCTACAAAATACTGAGGAGGGTTCTCATAGTAGAGAGTGGTATTTGACAGAGTTTTCGTTGTCTTCTTTATACCTTTCTTTGATATTTTAATTTTCTACAAAGAGTAAATAATATTGTTACAAAAAGACTCCTTTGTTTTTAGAGCATACATATTGGAACAAAGGGTTGCTTTACTCTTCCAAAAATATGGCATTCCACCCTAAGCAATTCTCTCTCTTTTTCTAAATCTAGGACAAAACAACATGTGTGTGGACAGGATTTAGTGACTTGATTATGAAATAATGGGACAGCATAATGCCTTATACCTGTATTAACCAAACCAAAGCCACAACATCTAAATATGGCCTGAAGCCGAGAGCTATTTTAAGCAGTAAGCTGTTAGTGCATAGCCAGGTGAACAAATATTTCTGTCAAAAAGATATCGATACCACCAGCTGAGTTGTTACGGCATGACTTGTCAAAGTCTCAGCAGAGAACCCATGCATTCAAACTCATTTAAGTAAGGCGGCAGTGAAATGCTTGCCTGTTGTGAATAGACAACCTCTGTCTCCAAGACATAAAATACTTTACAAGTACTAAATAAAATCAAGCTTCTTAAACGGTGTCTTGTCCTTCAATTTTTCATCTCTAAAGGGTGTCAAACTTTTCACTGACTTATTAATTGTATTATCTTTCAGCTGTAGAATATTCCCCCACTTAAATGCCAAGTCACCGATGACACCAGTATCTGCTGATACAATAAATGAACTAGTCCATGAACTAGTATTACAAAATACACTTTTATGCACCAAGTCTGATTATTGTTACAGATGGAGAAAATACGTTAAGAAAATGCATTGCACTATTTATAGCGCCTAATGTCTCAAAAATGCTTCAGGTTTTTAACATAATTTTTATACAATAATCACCAAATTAGCACATTTCTAGCTACTGAAATGAAAAATTAATTTCATGAGAACAGAATAAAATTTTCATCGGGTCCATTCACAATTAAAAATCGTAACTGACTATCACCAATATATATTGCTTTGTAGTAATGGTATTATTGGAAATGGTATTTCTTCTTTGGGTCATGTGCAAAGCAACAAAATGATCATAAAATTCAGAGGAAATAACTAGAGATAAAATAAATTTGGAGAAAATATTCCTGAGATATATGTGTTGGAACTATTCTTTTTTCTAAAAAAAAGGGTTTTGTTATTGAAGTCTCAAGTCTGCATATCATAAGCATATTACTATCCCACTGGGCCATATAATAAACCTAAAGCTGCATAAAATGTGTGTCATCTGGCTGTTTACAAGGTCTGTGGATTAAATTTTTACTGTCAGCTTTATAACTGGATTCCTTAAAGGGCCTCCTCCTCACAAAAATGAATGGAAACTAGAGAGATATCAAAGAAATTGGCTCAGCACAGGAAAAAGTAGCTCATTTCACACAGATAAGTTAAGATTATAAAATTGAGGTTATGTTCTTACAGAAGTATAGCCTTTTGTGGCTAAGCCCAACCTTTTCACTGCTTGAACGCCACAATTCCATTAGTACAAAGCCATAACCTCATGGCTACCCCATGGAGCCAACCACCGATGCCTTATGTTTATACCCTGATCAGGGCAAAGGGAATTTGTTCAAAGAGGGAATAATCATAGACTTGCAGAAGTCCTCCCTGGAGGGCAGCAATTCAGACTCACTCTCAGGGAGTTCTCCCCCCTACAGTACTGCTAAAACATGGTATCTCATATTTCTATCCAAGGATGCTTCTAACAAATACTGCTTCAAACATATGACCCTTCAGCCTAGCTGATGTGACCATTAATTTAAAAGTTCTGCCTCTACAATGTCCACCATTTATTACATCTAGCCTATAGCCATACACAACAAATTTACTCTCCCTTCCACAACAAAGCCCTTTGAATATATGGAAACAGCAACCATGTCCCCTCACAAACTGTCAAGATAACAGACATTTGTAGTTTCACTCATGAAAATATGGCTTTCAGACACATCACAAGAATTGTAAAGCAGAATTTTCTGAATAAAAATAGGCATCCTAATTTTTATTAGGATGGAACAACTCATAGCAACTATACCAGCTTCTCTACTGAATAACTTGTTTGCTGTGCAAGATGGCTAAATAAATTGGTAATTCTGCATTGAACTTTATGGGCCATCTAAAAATAAACAAGTGCAGATACCTAAACTACAAATGGACAAATAAACAATAATGGACCAATTCTAATCCTACAAAAAATTACGTTCTCTAAAAATTAATACCAGTTGTTGAATAAGAAATAGTTTTCTTAAAATATAAGTCCCTAGAAATTAACAGATTATAGGATAATAACGATAATAGGATAAAAACTAATAGGTAATAAGAAAATAATGGGATTCAAAATATTTGGCTAGACAAGATAGATAGATAGATAGATACACAGACAGAAAAATGTTTGCGTGTGTGTGTGTGTGTGTGTGTGTGTGCGTGCTGTGTATGAGTTTAAGCCACCATCCAATTATCTAAGTGTCAACATCACCAGAGGACATATTCTCATGAAACATCATAAAAACTTTATTTTTCAACATAATACAGATGCAAACTAAACTCAAAAGATCAGAGTTTGGGGTCAGTTTCTAATTTTAAATATAAAACATCCAAGATGGGATATTAGGTTCAAAACCTATTTTCTGCTGAAAAGACTACACTTTATCATAGTTTAATTATAATATATAGTTCTCATTTGCAAATTTTTAGTTTTCATTGATTCAGGTTTACGGAATTTGCTGGTATAATACAAATTGTTCACTTGTTTTGTTTTTCAGATTCTGCATGTAAGTGAAATCATATGGTATTTGTCTTTCTGCCTGACTTCTTTCCCTTAGCATTATACCTTCTAGGTCCATCCATGTTGTTGCAAATGGAAAGATCTTATTCTTTTTTATAGAGTAATATTCCATTGTATGTATATACCTCATCTTCTTTACCTATTCATCTATCAGTGGACACTTGGATTGCTTCCTTACCTTGGGCTATTGTAAATAATCTGTAATAAACAGAAGGACACATACATCTTT